TACCAGCCGCACTCCCAGTCTAACATACCACTCATGAGTCCTTGTCTATATCACCACCCTCATTTACTTGCCAAAGTTTTTTGATTCTGCCTACTGGCCTACCTGCTAGTAGAGCATAAAGGAGAATCAGGTAACAGCTGTTAGAACAGATGAAGATAGGGCTAGGGCATAAAGGAAGAAAAGTGAGGGAAATTTAAGCAAATGGGATTTTGTGCTCTAAATACTAATTGAAAAGTAACATGTAAACTTTAAAGCAGAACAAAGAATAGGATCATTTTTCACCACCTGTATTTTCTATACAAAAATAGTTTCTCCTATTCCTCCAAACTTAAACACTTATATAATTTCTTCTATACTAATTTTCCCATAAAAAGAAGCAAATCATTAAATATTAATAAGATCTAATTTGGACTATTTGTTTTATGTTAGACTAGTAGACCTGGTCATTCTTGAGTGTGATTATAGATATTAATGGAAGAAATTGTGTATTGCTTATAATTACGTCTTTTCAGTGAATAATAATAGGTAACACTACAGTATACTTCTATGTGCCATGCACTTTCATACATTCTGATCATTTCAAATATATTACATTAATAGCCATAGAGAAGTATTAACATCTCTGTAAACAGAGATACTAAAAGGTTAAATAATTGATACAAGGTCACCCAGGCCATAAATGGCAGACCCATGGTCACATACATCTAAGCGAAAATTTCACTATCTCGAAGGACCTCTGAAAATAGATAATTGTGCAACCAAAAAATAAGTAATAACACATTTCACTAAATGTAACTTGGTTTGGTATTTAATCAATCATCCTATATTCATTAATTCCTTCAGAATTTGTAAGAGGAGGGAGTTGGCATAACTAAACAAGAGTAACTTCAGCCACATGGTCAATATGCAATTATGGAGTAACCATTTTGTGTCAAGAATTATCCAACAAAGTAAAATGTCGAATATTCCAGTGTTCCAGGAAAGGATGCAAAAATAGAAGTGCTAGAGTGAGTTTTGTATGTAAAACTGAAGCTATGTTATATTCTTTAATACTGAAAGCATTTAATGGGAATGCATATTAATGTTCACATGCCCCTTGGCAGCAGTATATTAAAATTACAGCCCTTAGAGTCTTTACATTGAGAGTTTAAACTACATGTGTTATTTAGCTCTAATCTTACCACCACCTCAGATGTTATGTTTGTAAACTTATACCTCCTGGTTCATTTTATAGGATGCAATTAAATGGATAGCTGCAAACGGTTGTCACACAGTAATATATTTTAGCATGGTAGTTTGATTTAAAGCCATTGACATGTTTGTTCAAAAGCCTGAAGACTTAGCATTATGCTAGACACTAAAAAGGTGGGGGGGTGCCATAAAATTGGATCTCAAAAAGTACAATGGTCTATATGCCCATCAAGAATATTCAGCCTTGCTTTTATTTTGAAGAGCTAAAGAAACTTGCATAAAACTAGTATTAATTCTCCCTAAGAAGCCAAATAATGTAAGTTTACTAAATCTCTGATCAACATTTTAAACACAATATTGGAACAGAAACACTAGGATGAAGATTTAATTAAAAAAGTACATTTCGAAATAGAGTATTTCAAATGAGTTAGGAAAATAATAGTGTAAATGCAATACAAAGGAATAATACAATGAATTCCACAAAACATTTCCAATCAGTTTATAGGCATTACTCCTCCTGTCTCCACATTTTCTTTTTGGTATCAAATAATTGGGGGAGATACAAAGTTTTCATATAGCTTTCTTTTCCATAAATCATCTTGGTAATGTTCATATGTTAATTGTCTATGAATCTCCAAAAATGGAATATGACATAAGCGTTTCCTAACACATTTAACTATAAACCCTTCGTTCACAGAACATCTTGGAAGACTTGAATTCCACAGAAATCATTTGGGGATTTTTGAATCAGAAACAAAAGAGTCTTGCTAC